CGCCCCGAGGCAAACGATCGGCCCGCTGAACATGGACGCGCGATAAATTCGCGAAACGAAGCGATCCGCGCGGCCGCGAACACCTCCAAAAAAAGCCATTGGTCAATCTATCGTCGCGATCGCGTGCCTTTCCTCCGTAGAGGCTTCGCGGCCCCCGGACGATCTCTCTCCGCCTCGGGGCCAAAGGATCGAAAGGACAGTTCTTGCCGGGGCGAGCAGAAGAAAGGAACGACACGAGACCGCGAGGTTACGTGTTCCCACGTCGACGCGACTGTGTTACATCGTGCATATAAATCGCGTCATAAAACGCGTGTACAACCGGGGGCTGATCTCTTCGGGACCGCGTGTGCACCGATCGGGCTCGACCGGGAACCAGAGGAAAGGAGAGAACAAAGACGAGAGAAAGAGAAAGAGAAAGAGTGTAAGTAGATTCTGGTTTGCTTGGCCGTTCTCTCGATCGCTCGACCGGCGTTTCCACCCGAGGACTTCCAGTTTTTTCTGTAGCTCCGATGGACATCGGACGTCCATCGATCATCCATTCGAGTGTCCACGCAGCCCCGTGCGCACGATATATATCGCTTTTTCGTGGAGTCGGACGCAGGTATGCCGAGCCTACAGAAACGGCCCCGTCCAAACAAGAGAATCGCGAAGGGAATTTTCTGCAAAGCCTAGCGCGCGCGAGGTGTCACCCGATACCTTTCGCGAAATCTCCCTTCAATCGTTCCCCGCGCTTCCGCGGGGCCCCGTTCGCCTGATATTCACGCCGTTGCCGTGAAGATTATTTCTCGATTGTTATTCCTCGAGACGTAGCTGAGTGCTACTCCTATCTCGGCGAACTTGTTGCGATAACTCGATTCTTCCGGACTATCGTAAAATGCGCGCGCGCGCGAGAGAGAGAGAAAGAGGATATACGGTATACGGTGTTGAGCATATTCCTTTACCGCAGACATTCTGCAAAATTCTTAGATATAATTACCCCAACTTGTACGGTATAACTCGATCACGGCCAATTTCGCAGAAATTGTCTAAATTATTGACACTAGTGTTTGCCTAGTTCGAGACACTTGAAGCTCACCCCTCTTTCTCGACGCCTCGCCAACACGTTCTCTGCCACGATAAAACCCCTTTCGTCGGAGTCGTATCGTGCAATAATCGTATCGTAATGCGTCCCCCGCCCCTCCTCCGCCGATACGTGACGATGGTCGCAGCTTCCGTTTCCCCTTGGCCCGAGAGAGCTGCGTGCGCCCTCGGAGAGAAATCGTGGCACTGGCAATTAGCACCGTCGTGGAACAAACGAGCCATCCTATCGGGCTAATGCCTCGATATATCGATCCCGGGACGCGCGAATAATTATCGCCGTTCGTGGTAGCCAGCTTCGGCGAACCGAGCGGACGAACGACGACGGGGCTTACAACCACGACGCGGCTACCTTGAACGCTACTTTAAAGGCGACGAGAGCTCCAGGCGAAACCAGCGACCACGAGCCTCTTCCAGGGTGTGATATAGTTGCCGGTTTCTGTGTACACGGTCGGCAAGAGTGCTGCACACGATCTCTCTCTCTCTCTCTCTCCTCTCGTTTCTGTCTCCTCTGTCTTCTGCCGTTCGATGCGATCGCGTGGAGTAACTCAGGGACTGGCGGCCGCTTCTTCTTCTCCTCTCGGACCGTAGCGCTGAATTATGGCCCGTGGCTCCGGACACTCGCCAACACGCTTCGTCGTTTAACCCCTTGCCCGATCCCGAGCCCCCAAGCGCATTCTTCCCGTCCTTCTGCTCTCCCGACCTCTCTCTCTCTCTCTCTCTCTTTTTTTCTCTCGCGAACCTCTCGCAGGATTCTTACGATTCCCGGTGAGAACCTGGCCGCCTCGCCAGTATATATCTGCCGCCCTTCCGATGCCGCTCCTCTGCTCCGGCTTCTACGCCCTTCGATTTTAACGCGCGCGTAGCAAAGACGAAAGAAATTTCGGAGATTCCGAACGATCGGGTTGTTGCGATTTTGTAACTGTGGCTGACAATTCTCTCGGCCACAGTTTGGAAAAAAAGTCAGTAGTACGTGGAACACGGGAGCGTTTGGAAATTTTCATCGGGTATCGATTCGCGAGAACGATTGACAAATTCCGGCGGGTGAATCGCGGAACAGCGTGTCGATCGATCATCGGCGGCCGCGATTAAAATATCAACCGGTGTAAGCCCCTCTAGCTTACAATGCGCGTGCGTGCGTATTAGCGAAACCGTGGGCTCGAAACGCCAGGCATGATGAAGAAGAGAGAGAGAAAGAGAGATGGTACAATGTGTGTGTGTGTGTGTGTGTGTGTGTGTGTGTCGGGCGAACCGGGCCATCCCCAGCGCGCGCGTATCGAGTTTTATCGGCGATCGGCCGGGGTCCTCTGGCTCTCTGGGCTCGCTCTGTCGGACGCGATTCCCAGCCACGCACGGCTGTGTGGATCCTGATCATCACGGTGCGTTATAACGCCAGGCAGTTGGATGCGTTAGACGGAACAGCGTAACCGGGACACGCATTAACGCCACTCTCTCGATGCCATAATGCGCAGCGGGTCACGTTTTTCCTACCGATACAATGCCCTGCCTTTCGGCAATATGTTCGGGGGCCATCGAAACGAGGCGATGGATGGATGGATGGATGGATGGATAGATGGATGAATGAATGAATGAATGAATGAATGAATGGATGGGTGGATGGATGGATGGATGCGGACGTACGGATGGGGACGTTGCACACGCAAGGGGGGTTTGTTTAGGCTCCGCCGCGCGAAAGCCACTCAACCCGCTAATCTATTTAGCCGTGCTGTTTGATATGGAATTAATGAGCACTCCCTGGTATTATGTACGGGCCTGATTTTCGGTTTACCTCGCCTCGAGAATGGAAAGAAGGGGACAAGAACGCGCTAGGTCCAAGACCTTTGGACCTAGCAGTTGCTCCTCTGCCTTTTCACGCCGCGGCTGCTGCTGCTAGAAAAGTTCTCTTTGGGGTGTTAGCCTCTGCCCTTCTCTCTCTCTCTCTCTCTTTCTCTCTCTCTCCCTCTGGGTGTGGTTCGCTCGCGCAGCTGCTCACCCGTTGTTGCCCTGCCTGTCGCCGATTATCGGCGTCGAACGTGCCACCGGAGGCGTTTATTGTTTCGTAAATCGGAAACAATCGCGCCGGCAGGTGTGTGTTTAACGGAAGTCCCTCGGTTCCCTGGAGGCTGCGCGCCACGGATATATATCGGCGTTCGAACGGATACCGTTTCGGATAATTTCTCGCGTACGCGGTGCCTGGTTTCGGCTCCGAGTGGAGAGAAAGTCGAGCTCGATTAATATGGAAATGTTACATCGTTTATTACCGTGTTTAGATAACGTCTAACGCTAAGTTATGCGCGCACGGAACTCGCGAAAATTCGACCAGCCGTTGCCATAATTTGTAACAGTTTCCACGATGGATAGACACTGTCTATCGCGTATCCGACCCAACGATCTGACTCGCGGGGTCGCGTATCAACGGAATCCATCGGTTTCGTTTCGAGAAACGCTGAACCACAACCGGACCCGCGACTCTGAACACGATATCGCTCGCAGTTTACTCGCGGCGCGTTTCACAACACCACCGTCGTTTCGATCAATTTTCCCTCCTCCTTCCTCCCCCGGAGCTCGACCGCTCCGTTGTTAATTCGCTCGTAACGAGTTGGCTAGCAGCTAAATGGGAAGCTCGCGATCCGCTCTACTTGGCTGGCTGGCGTGCATCCGTGCAATCGGAGAACGTGTAAGACGGCTCGGAGATCGAGTAACGATTAAAACGTCCTGGCTCGTTGATGCTGTCAGCGGAATCTACGGACGATGATCTGCCGGTAGTCTTTCCCGAGCAAACCTTTTTCTCTCTCTCTCTCTCTCTCTCTATCTTCGCGTTAATACGACGTGGCCCGTCGTACGTGCGGTCAGTGTCGAACGAGTGTTCTACGAACGTGAAAACATCGACGACTGCGAGTTTCTTGATTTCCCAATCGACCAACATTGATTCCGTGGCACCTGGGTACGTACGTACGTGGTCGTATCGCCGCTGAAACGACGAATGTCGAGCGTAAATCTGACCACGAGTTGGTCAAAAGACGGTGAGAGAGGTAAATGTTGAGCACGCGATAAAAAATTACGGGGGGGAAAAAGAGGAGCAGTCAGCGTGTAACGCGAGAAAGAGTAAAAAGAGAATGACCCGCTGAACATAAACTTATTCTCTTATCTAGGATTGTTTATCGTGAAAAAGAGAGAGAGAGAGAGAGAGAGAGAGAGAGAGAGAGAGAGAGAGAGAGAGAGAGAGTTGTCAAGAATTTTCAAGTAAACAGTACGATTGTTCAAGCCCCGCGTTTTCGAAACGATTTTGTCGAAAGACGTGTAACATCTTGTTTTGGCGGAAAGTACGCAAGCTCCTGGCTTGACGCATGCCTCTGAACCGATACACTGCAATGCAAACAATTTTTGGTCAAGAATGTATCTCCTGTTTAGATTACGATACGTAGCAACGAATGTTTGAAGTACTGGCCGATCGATCACGTAGCTGTCTGTTGTTTGGTAAATACGTGTAACAGTACGTCATGCCCCGATCGAAGTCAAGAGTCTTTTTTATCTAAATACATATTTCTGGTCGAATTACTGAAAGTAATCGAGTATTGCGACGCGTCGACATCAGACGGTAAAAGACCGTTTGTTTTCTTTTTTTTTTTTCTTGTACCTCTCGACTGAGTTTCATTTCGCACAAGTTTGTTATGTAATTGCGCGCAGTCATCGTAGCGACTGTATGTACATATCAAAGGCCCGCTTACCAGAAGATATTACCGTATATGTGATGACTCTTTATCACCCACGATATCGATAACGAATTACCGAAACCTTACGCGGCAGGGTTTCCCAAAACTTGAGTAATTAAATATATCACTATACTACTCTACTTCTCTTCTATCTGTCTATTAGCGTAATAGGTGTAATCTAATCAACGATGGTATCTGTTCTCTGCGCAGTGTCCTGTGACAGTGAGCTCGTCGCTGACGTCCTCTTCGGCCTCGCCGGTCTCCGGTACGATCCTGAGCGCAGGCGGCTCGTCGCTGGTCAGCGTAGCGGGCACCACCACGAATCATCCCCTGGGCGTAGCTGCCGGTCTGTCGAACGCGAGGATGGCGGTGACCAGCGCGGTGGTTAGGCCGCCAGGCAGCCCAACCACGTCGGTCAGCCCGTCGCAGGGTCATCCGCCGCCGACGACCGGCGGCCCGGCGCCGACCGGACGGTGTTGCGACACTGGAAGACCGATTTTCACCGATCCGCTCACCGGCCAGACTGTCTGCTCCTGCCAGTACGAGCTACTCGGCGGTTATCAGCGACTCGGTGCGCTACCGACGGCCGCGCTCTCCATGTACAGCGCGCCGTACGCGGCAGCTGCCGCCGCCGCCGCCTCCGAGGGCATGGCAGCCTATTTTCCTAGCCTCGGAGCCGAACAGGCGCCCTTCTACACGCCTACGGTAAGTTGCTCTTTCAATTTCATCATTCATTTCTTCTACCTGTTTTCTAGCGTCTTTTGCGAGTATATTGCGAGTATTAACACGTTGTATACTGGGAGAAACGAGATCCTTGTTACGCGTAACTTTTTCTTCTTTTTTTTTTTTAAGCGAACCGAATAGACTGTTCGTGTAAAGTAAAACGACTTTTTAGCAAAGTTTATAAATTTTTACGAACAGAAGAAATAGCTTTAGACAGCTCGAAGAGGAAGATTATTCTTTTGAATCTATCATGGATCGAGAATTATGAAAGCACGGAGTTCTAATGCGAGTGCTGTGTGAAAATGTATACGGAATACACGTATAATTTACCTGATTTATTTTGCTCAGGTGAGCAAAGAAAAAAATTGATTGAAACAATACGAAATATTTTGTCTCTTTATACTTGTGGCATCATTTTTATATAGACAACTATTATAATAGTGTTGAAAATTGCGAAATTCTATTTCAAAATAAGACAAGAGTATGTGATACCATCAGAAAAAATAGAGGACTACTCAAATCTTTGCAAGATGTGGATATATCATTTTGCTTAAAATTAATTTGTTTCACGTTGCCAACAATTTAGTTTTTTCTTTTTTTTTTCGTCAACCAGAATAAAATAGTATTGTATATGAACAACTATTGTGATAACATTGAAAATTGTGAAACTCTATTACAAAATAAAACGATATGTCATTCTGTTCAAAATTAATATACTTTACGTCGCTAATCCAATAATTTAGTTTTTAATTCATGGCGAGGAATTGAAAACAAAGATATACGTATTTTGAATACACGTTGATAATTAGACAGTTTTTTAAAACATCCTGCTCCGAAGACTATGGAGGTATGCAAAATGGCCCCGCGTGCAATGCGTTAAAAATCGATTTTAAGAAATTAACCGGTGAGCCGTGTAAAACCGGCCGTGTCAGCTGAAATTATCCCCTAAACTTCGCCCGTTCGATCTTAATGGCGTACTCGCTGGTGCGTTTTCCCGATTTCAGCCCAGCGTTGTTTAATTATGTTATCACGGCTCGCGCGACTGTTCCCCGCCTAATAAACGTCAACGCAACGCGCGGCTAACGCTCGATGTTCGTACTGCTGGCGTTTCATCCCTTCTACGCCAACAGCGTCAACTTAAAAAGTTCGTTTTATTGCATCCACCGTCGCTCCGCGATCCTTTCAGCTTTATTACCCGTTCCTGTAATTAAGTTCCACTGTTCAAAATCTTGCTGAACTTTTACTAATGTAAATGTAAGATTCTTCCCTCCCGTCGGAACATGCACATTTCTTCGATATCTAACCTTGCTTAAAATATTTCTCGTACGAATCTGCGACATTATCTGTCGTACATCGCGGCGAGTTTCGTCGGTGAGATAACGAACTCGTCGATTGCCCAACTCGTGACAATGTACTCTCGCGTTCCCTTGTGCGAACGTACGGCGGAATCACGCGGAAAGTTTCCTTCGCCGATGATAAAAGAGAGAAAGAGAAAGAGAGAGAGAGAGAGCTTTGATTTTGCATGCACGGCCTGACAAAGCGTTCTACGATAATCGAGATGTTATCGCGGCGAGAGATCCTGGACAGTGCGATGTTAATATAAACGAGGACGAGGGCAGAGGAGAGGAGAGATGCATACAGCGGCTTTGGATCGGCAATCGCGTGTATTCGTCCGTCTGGCCCGGAGAGAGAGAGAAAGAGAGAGAGAGAGAGAGAGAGGAGTTATCGGACCACACACAAAGCGCACACACGGGGAAAATAACCGCGAAACGTAAATTTATGAATCCGTCCTGTCGTAACAGTGGAACTCTGTCGTGTTCGAGCCGTCGCCGTGGCCGGCCTGTTATCGTCGCTCTTTATGATCGAGCTTAAAGGGCCCTGCGTATGTGTATAGAGCGTGGCTTTTGTCCTTCGTACAGCAGATTGCACGCGCAAGTTGCGCGAAACCGTGGAGGTATCTTCCTCGTTAATGTCCACTTTTCTCGATTCTTCCACTTCGCAGCTATTCAACACCGTGTTTTCAGACTTTGTGCGTGGATGCACAGTCTTCTGACAACCGAATCAATCAACTCTCATTGCACGCGTTCCCTTTTTCGAAATTTTCGCACGCGTTTCGTCAAGATACAACTGGTCGTACGAATTCTCTTACGTCGATGTAGTCCAACGATCTCTCTCCATTCGGAAATAGCCGAACGAAAATTTGCAGATAGATTCTTCAATTCTTTCCGGTCGAAGTCCGAGTATCTCAAGCATTCGGCTGCATTATCACTCGCACTTCTCCGTTTTCACAAGCCGTTACACTCTTGAGATATAAGCTTGTATATTTTACAATGATGTCACTTGTATATTTATGAGTTATAAACAATGAACAGTGTTCTCTGATGGGCAAACAAAATCCTTAGGTTTCTAGATCTAAGATAAGTCAGTTGAAAATTTCTTCAGCTGAAAACAACAGCCGGTATAAAGAAATATTTAGCCCGGCTTTCGTTCCACTTCAGTTAATTTTGTAATTTCATTCGTTTCATTGTTATTTGTTCGAATTATTATTATATTATTATATTGCAATTTATATTGTACTGTTACACATATATACTATACTTTGGCATCGTGGTATTTTTATCAATTATATTTGTACAATAAAGACCAGCGAATGAGTACACAGGTGGTATTGGACAGTAAATTCGATAGAGAAAATTTGAACAAAGTTAGGACCAACAAGAAAAGTATTAGGACTAAGCCGCTACGACCAATTACGCCTGCCTCTAAGTGTTAATATTTAGAATTGACATTTTAGAATACCCTTAGGAAAGAATTAATATTTAGATTGACATCTTAGAATGCTCTTAGGATTTATTAGTTTGATTCTTCGGTTTTTCCAACAATGATAAAAGTGAAATTCTCCGAATCTTGCTCTTGAAGCAAACGTATTGTTTGAGTATCATTTCATTTGAGAGTAAAAATTTCAGATACGAACTTTGTAAAAAGTGGAGATGCTGAATGTTGTGACAGAATAATATCTTTTTAGATGTTTGCAACCATCACTTGTTATGTTTATCCGAAACAGTTTGAACATGTTTGCACCGCAGCCATAGTTGTCTTACGACTGATTTAAAATTTACGAGTAGAATGCGGATTTTTATATAAACTGTTAGTTTAGTATTTATATTACGGGTAAAAATGTCGAAACGCAGCGAAAGACCCGCAAATGCTTCGTTAAGAACTTAAAATAGAACAAAAATATGAAACGTAAAGCTACACACACTTGTACGTTGATGCAAAATTGATATGAGGATAAATTTACCGATTTTTCACATCAACTTCATCGAATTTCTTCGCGGGCAGTTTCGATTCTTGCAATCAATTCGTGTCAAACAATAAATTCGAAGACAATGAATATTCTTCCATAAATAGAAGTTTGAAGATGCAAAGTCTAGGAGGCATATCGAGATAAAAAAATTGATTCCTCTCGTTTGTTACACTTCCTGCTTCTGTTACAACTTTTTAACGAAAGATTAATGAACTTCTCTTTGCTGTACATTTTACTCTTAAGTAGAACACACTGGCAAGCTTCGAGCTCCAAACTTCGGGTACAAGGTATTCGGTTGTTCGAACAACTCGCGGCGAAATCGAAGAATTTCCAAAAGAGGGAATTTTCGCGCGCGAAAATTAGCCGTTCGTAGTATCGTGCGTCGGAAGTCTGCATCTGGTTCGCTGCCGAGTTCAGTTCAAACACTTGAAATTACGGTGAGTCTCAAATAAACGGGCCACCGATGCCGGGGCGCGTGAATTTCCTTGGTCGAGGGCTCGGGTCGTCCTCGTTATTTTCGAGTGCTAATTACGCCAGTTCGACGATGGCTACGCCGTTCGAACACGATATGTATAATTAATCAGTCATTAATTACGAAACTCCAACGCGTACGGAAAAAAAGTCGGGGAGAAGGACAGCGGGACGGTTTAGTGTCGGTAGAGGAAAGAGAAGGGCGAAGAGGAGCAGGAAGAGAAGAGTTTCTATGGTTCTATTATTCCACCGATTGATGGAGGTTTAAACGCGGCTGGTGTATGAAGTCGACGCGTCGGGGATGCGAGTTTGTAGAAACAAACAACAACGGCACACACATCGATTTTAATTATTATTATCGCTGCTTTGCCAGCTATTTTTCTCATTATCGTCGATGAATTGGGGATCGATCGTGCTTGGTGGCTGCTCCGATTACCAACGGTCTTGTAAAAGTGGATATTTCCGTCGGTGAAATCGGTCGAATGTTTTTTTTTTTTTTTTTTTTTTTTTTCGTATCGAAAATCGAGTTCCGGTATATAGCTCGGAAGAACGTTTTAAACGTTGACAGAATTCCATTTTTGGGGAATGGAACATCGGTGCGACACGCGTGATTTTTCCAACCGAACGATATCGTTTCTAAATCGGAAGCCAGGTTCGCGGTGTTCCGTTCGTTTTGCAATTGTGGAATGTGTTCGTTTCCAGTTGGAAACGAGCCCCGGCTAATCGCCGGCCGTGGAATTTGTCCTTTTCAGCTGCGCGTAATTGTTCACGCTGGGGCGTTGACTCATTATTAACAGGTATAATTGCTTGGCTTGCAGGCGGCTGGCCTCGATCTGAAGGAGAACCTTGGGGCAGGAGCCGCGGCAGCATGGCCTTATCCATCCGTGTATCATCCCTACGACGCCGCCTTCGCCAGCTACCCCTTCAACGGGTGAGTTCTCCCGAATATTCTCTCGCAAACAACGATCTCGCTCTCACGAATTTCCTACGAAAGGCAGCGGGAACGGGAGATAAAAGTAACGCCCGTTCCAAATTCCAAACGGCCGCGCATCGCTTCCGACAATTAACTGGGGGGGGGGGGGGATAAACGTTTATGGACGATTCGGAAAGAAATACCGTCTATTTAAGTTAATGAAACCTCTCCGCGCCGAGGCTTCGGAAAGCACTATATACTTCACGCGGTGATACAGAGCCAACTGCTAGATCGTGCTGGATCTTCCTCGACTCGCTGGAAACTCGGATGTTAAGGTACCTCTCCTTTTGAGAATAAAACTGTTGCGAGAGTTGCTCTCGAGAGTATTTCTCGCTAATGGATACTGCTTGCTGAGAGTTACTGTCCGAGAGCATCGCTCAACTATTTGAGAGAGAGAAAAAACAATGGAGAGAGAAAGAAATAGAGAATACTCCCGCGAGAAACTCTCAAATGGAAAAGTACCTTAACCGAGCGCGAAACGATTTCCCGAGAGCGTCGAAGTCGGAATAGGTGTGCGACTTGGTTAATTATTACGAGTGTACGTGATAAAAGTAGCGCGAAACGATAACACGCTGAGACAGATAGCGGTCGCGCGTTACGAGCAACAACAAGAATAACACATGTACCGTACACCTTTTTTTTCAATCGTTTTTTTCAACGCTGATCAAGCCGCCGAAGAGATCGAGCGGCACGCCGGGCGCGGAAAGTTTTTCTGCCACTTGGAGATTATCTCAATTGTCTTTGGAACGAGGGAATCGAATCGCCAATATTCGTTCCTGTTTTCTCGCACAAAATCTCTGTGATAATGTTAACAGACAGAAGAAGGAAAGAGAGAGACTTTGCTTTACCCTAACGTGCGTTTCACACAAGTCAGTCAGCTGTAGTCGTGGCGTCGACGCGCTCTCGCGCGCGCGTTCTTGATAACGCGCCGGAGAAACACATAAACATTCCAATAAATTAGCGCTCAGTTGACCCGGAACTGTCGCCTTGGGGCGTTTTTATTCTCGCGCTTCGCGCTCGAATCGGTCAGTGCTTGTCACGATGCGACCGGCGGAAAGGTCTCGCCCGGCTGATAAATCGAAATCGTATTTATCGTCGCCGGGGCGAGATTACGAATATTCGGAGTGCTCGTCGAGTCTACGACGTGTGCAACCGGAGGTGGACCGAGTACGGAAACTCTCCCGTGATGATCAACATCTTGCACTTGACTGTCCCTTCCAAGGGGACTGATATCTGAGCTCCTCTCTTTTCTTTTTATAATATAAATATAATTGTAACGAATGTAGATACACGTCTGACGTTGTGCGAGATACAATAATGTAATAGTATAATACCTGAACAGACGTTTGGAGCGAAATTTGTAATAACGATGTGGGAAGAATGAAAGAATTTCAGAAGAAGAAATTCCCGAAGACAGAAGCAGTCGTGAGTTAATTGACGCTCATTCAAAATAATTCACATAAATTGGACCTCTCGTCCGCTTCGTACGAAAGTTTACAAATTGTTAGAGAAAATTTTTTTTTTTTCGGAGACTGAAAATATTGTACGTATCATTAACTCTTACTATACTATAGTTGTTTTAGAAATGACAAGTTGGAAAGATATAATCGACAAAATTTCATAATAAATGAATAGCTTAATAAATTTCATAATGAATGGCTAAATTCACCATTTCAGCAGGATGATTATCCATTCATGCTGTGTCATTCTATTTGAAGTGATAATACTTTGTAAATAAATTGCTGGTAAAATGATGTAAAAAAAAGTTTCCGAGGGCAAAGGGTTAATCTCCCATCTGTGCACGTTGCCGGCCCTCTCCTCGGCCGTCACTGAATTTTTCAATTTTTCCCTTTCCTTGTTTCTTTTTTTTTTGTCAATTCATATCAGGCCGTCGTTATCGTCGCGTCCCCGCCATGAAACTCGACTGATGTGACACTCGAGCCGATTTGTAAACTGGCTTTTACGACATGCTAATGGGATACGATGATTACACACAATGAGAGAACGAGGAAACAATGTTGTAAATTGTTGGGTTATAGTTCGTTTCAAGAGGATTATTTTCTACAACATATGAAGTAATTGATAATTCAACTATGTGCATGCACGAAAAGAAGTATAAACCGAGAACAGTGATTTGGCCAGAGGGAGATGTAGAAATTTACGTTTCTTCGCGAGAATGTTCGCACGTCGTGTTCGCGAACAAGGAAATAACCTTGCAAATTTTTGTAATACAAACGTATTACTATGTTCCATCTGGTTTTTTTTTTTTATTATTATTTTTCTTTCTTTCTTTCTTTCTTTACTCGGCGAGCACGCCGATAACGTTGCGAACGATAAAACATCCGGCGCGTATCACCGGTTTCGATCTGGTCCGGAGAAACGCGACCCGCGGTCACGTATACGACGACGACGACGACGACCCGGTGACGAAGTCAACGACGTGGCTCTCTCCGCGCCGGTGTCACCTCGTGGAATCTATACTGCCGCGTGACGCACTTCCGGCGGAGACCGCTTCGTATGCAAGGAAGCGATTGGGTACTACACCTTGCTTAGCATCCATTCGGTCTAGTCGGCTCGCGCACCGGGTCTTCCTTTACGGAGACCTACCGCCGGTCCACACCGGAACCGCGAAAACAATTACCGGAAGATCCGGGGATACACACCTGCCAGCTGCGAGATCCGTTGTTTCTTCTCTGTGCGCTCTTTATCTTCGGATATCGTGTGTAAAGTAGACAGAGTAAAAACAGGCTCACGAAACCACAGTTGCGGGCAAAAAATTTTTAATTTTTAATCGTGATTAATAGTTAATGACTCCGACTTTATTGTTAATTGTAAATGAATTACGATTAAATTCTTACTTTAATACACTGACATTGACAATTAAGTGTCTTTCAATTTTTATCGTCAGTTGAGTACCTTATCGACGATTAACTGTTGAAATTTTTTTGCAGAGAAATGCAAATTGATGTTTTCTGCATGTGTCTTGTTCGTGGCTAGCGATCGACGCATCTTGCGACGATGTACAGAGAGACGACAAAGCCTCTGCAAGTCTGCAAACAGTGAAATAAATAATATTAATGTCTAATGCAACGCAATGAAGTTTTTTTTTTGCAAAGTTTGAAGGAGTTCAAAATGAGTTAGACGTGAATGAAAAATATATTTCATTTCAATATGATAACCTTAAAGTCGACGCACTATACGCGACATCATGTTTGCGGAAATATCGAATGTACTATAACACCGTTGTCGTACGTTTTACGAAAAATTCAATCTTATAAATTGTATATGCATGTCACGCACAGCCAGACGACTTCGTAACAGTTATAAAGCATATTTCTCTCTCTCTCTCTCTCTCTCTCTCTCTCTCTCTCTCTCTCTCTCTCTCTTTATTACAATTTCAAAATATGGTCTACATATAAATGAAGTTAAATCAAATTCGATGTAATAACTAACAATTGATAATTGCCGATTGACATTATTAATCAATTAAGTCAATTGCCGATTTTTCGGCGATTAACATCTTCTAACTTCAATCAACGATTGACGGTTATCATTATTAATCGATGAGGTATCAGTCGCCGATTTTTTTTTTACGATAACCTTTACATGTAACCAGTCAATTCAACTGAAAATTTTTAATTCCCACCTTTGCACGAAAGTAACTCAAAATTTGCAGAAGAATTATAAACACGTTTTATAATTTACATAAATTTGAGAGTTTGAAATATCAGAGTGTAACACATACAGTATGGCCAAAAAGTTCGACGACCCAATAATTTTCCTCTTTAATCGAGACATATCAATTCTTTCTTCTCTCTCTTTTTTTTTTTTAAATTGGAAGAAATCAGAAGAAATAATTAAAGATTTAGTAAAATGATTGCGCCGACACGACTTGTCGGAATTAACAGGGATTTAAATTTCCCGCGGAATTGATTGATACGTCGTGTTACACGATTTGTCTCAATTTCTCGCGAGCGTAATTCCATTTGTCAAGATAAGCGGGCATGAACTGATACACGTACACACACACACACATACACATCGTTGTGTTTCTTCGTTCGGTTTTTCAGCGAAGGAATACGTTAATTAATGCAAACGACATATCGATAGGTGAAGATAGCGAGCTGCGATTTGATTACCTCGACACACGGCACTATTCGCTTGCCCGAGTAATCAAATTCAAATTTAACACGATATTGCTGAAATCAATTTTCTTTCGGCGGGACGTCGGGATAACGCTTCTTTCGCCTTACTGTCGCGATATCGATAATAATTCCACGTATTAACAGCGCTACATCGTCAACGAACAACAACTGATTTCTACCTATATACCAATTAATTTCGCCTCGAGTTAAACGATGCTAATTACCGTGGTTTTCCACTTGCGCGCCGGAAATTTGGACTTCGATTATCCCATTCATAGTTAGAAACCATCATTCTCAATACACAAGTTCTCCCGGTGAACGTGTACGCGAGTCGTGTTTGTTGCAGCGGAGTCTCGATACGTTATCGAAGTTTCTTTTTTTTTTTTTTTTTTTTTCTCGGCACGAATAATGAAAGCCACGGAACGAGATTCGTTCCCGCGTGAGGCTTGCGCTTCTCAATCGTGTCAGTCAGTGAATCAACGTGAATCAACTTAGGCCTGATCAACCACGTTCACCTCTACTCTTCTGCTCGGGAAGGAGCTAACGACGCCAACACGTTCGAGTAACAATTGTCGCACCGATGCTACTTGTTCGATGCTCGACCGTTGCTTACGTAACGCGGACCTTTTATCGATGCACCGTGTATATCGGTGGAATGTTCGTTGATACGATAGCGACGTGCTTCTCGCGTAAACAATTATTTACGTAGGCACCGAAAGCGAAACTTTGAACAGTTGGAATCGATGCTTGATCGACCACTGGAGACATTCGTGTAATAATGATAAAGAGATCATGGTTATGGTTGTAGAATTG